AACGTCACTGTAGACCACTCCTAGCTGTCGTTGTTTTGAGTGTCCGATCCAAAAACCAAATCCCAGGGTACACGAGACGTGGAAGCATGTGAGCGTGTTAGAGTCTGTTAAGTATTAGAGTCCTAGGGTTACACGTGACGTGGTAGCCTGTGAGCGTGTTCAATCCTAGGGTTACACGAGACATGGAAGCCTGTGAGCGTGTAGACCGCTCCTCTATCGTTGTTTTGAGTGTCCGATCCAAACCAAATCCTAGGGTACACGAGGCGTGGTAGCCTTTGATCTAGTAAAATCCTGGGGTTACACGAGATATGGTAGCCTGTGAGCATGTAGTCCGCTCCTCTATCTTTGTTTTGAGTGTCCGATCCAAAACCAAATCCTAGGGTACACGAGACGTGGAAGCCTGTGAGCGTGTTAGAGTTTGTTAAGTGTTAGAGTCCTAGGGTTACACGAGACGTGGTAGCCTGTGAGCGTGTTAAATCCTGGGGTTACACGAGACGTCGTAGCCTGTGAGCGTGTTAAATCCTAGGGTTACACGAGACGTGGTAGTCTGTGAGCGTGTAGACCGCTCCTCTATCGTTGTTTTGAGTGTCCGACCCAAAACAAAATCCTAGGGTACACGAGGCGTGGTAGCCTATGAGCGTGTTAAATCCTGGGGTTACACGAGACGTGGTAGTCTGTGAGCGCGTAGACCGCTCCTCTATCGTTGTTTTGAGTGTCCGACACAAAACAAAATCCTAGGGTACACGAGGCGTGGTAGCCTATGAGCGTGTTAAATCCTGGGGTTACACGAGATATGGTAGCCTGTGAGCATGTAGACCGCTCCTCTATCGTTGTTTTGAGTGTCCGATCCAAAACAAAATCCTAGGGTATACGAGGCGTGGTAGCCTATGAGCGTGTTAAATCCTAGGGTACACGATCAGACGTGGTAGCCTGTGAGCGTGTTAAATCCTGGGGTTACACGAGACGTGGTAGTCTGTGAGCGTGTAGACCGCTCCTCTATCGTTGTTTTGAGTTTCCGATCCAAAACCAAATCCTAGGGTACACGAAACGTGGAAGCCTGTGAGCGTGTTAGAGTCTGTTAAGTGTTAGAGTCCTGCGGTTACACGAGACGTGGTAGTCTGTGAGCGTGGACACCGCTCCTCTATCGTTGTTTTGAGGGTCCGATCCAAAACCAAATCTTAGGGTACACGAGACGTTGAAGCCTGTGAGCGTGTTAGAGTCTGTTAAGTGAGTCCTAGGGTAACACGAGACGTGGTAGTATGTGAGCGTGCTAAATCCTGGGGTTACACGAGACATGGTAGCCTGTGAACGTGTCAAATCCTTGGGTTACACGAGACACATGGTAGCCTGTGAGCGTTTAGACCGCTCCTCTATCGTTGTTTTCAGTGTCCGATTCAAAACCAAATCCTGGGGTTACACGTCATGTGGGAGCCTGTGAGCGTGTTCGTTTCCTACGGAAGGTGTTATTTGCCTTTGGGAAAAGCGGTTATGCTGCGGTTCTAAGGTTAGTAGAGGCTATTAGAGCCTTTCCTTGTTGTAGAGATGGCTAGTCCCTTCCTTTGCATAGGTTAGAAACACCCATGCACCTCCCGTTCGAGCCACCCACCCCACACCGTGTGGAGGTTCGGTGAGGTTTTTCGTGGGGCGAGTTAATTATTAAACTTGTATTATGTACTTTCCTCAATCTTCAGTTGTTGATATTTCGTTTAAAGTTAAACATCGATTTTTCTAACAATGTAGAATGGCAGACATGCGGAATCTTCAAACGAAGTTAATATTCCTACAAATCATCTCGCTATCTCTCTGTGGTAAGCTATAATATAACATATGCATGCATGAGCTGCTATTTTACTTATCATTGATCAAAAATAGATCAATAATTTATCGTTATAGAAAATAGAAATAGTACCACTTATACCCGTTGAAATGAGATAATTATAGTATTTTTATACTGGGGTGGGAGATAAGTGCAAGTATTATAGAATACTCGTGTATCTGTACACATATGGTACACACTTAAGCACTTCACTCCAAGGGTAGTCTAAATATTGCATATATTTGTATGATTTTGTTGGGTGGTGTGTATTTGCGAATAGAGCTCAAACTTCGCATCTGAATTAGTGAACAAGCATATCGGAAAAATCAAGGCACTGGGACTGGACCGGGAATTGAACCCGGGACCTCCAGCTATCCGGACTGGTGTTATAACCGCTAAACTACCCAGGCCCTAGATACCCTGAAATTTCCAACGGCTTTGTTCACGTAATCATAGCTATTATTATCATTACTCTACTCATTGCATTCCACACATCAGGTATAGACTGTTACATGTTATCAATTTTTATACTGGGGTGGGAGATAAGTGCAAGTATTATAGAATACTCGTGTATCTGTACACATATGGTACATATACACATGTATATATATACATACATGTACACATATGGTACACACTTAAGCTCTTCTACTAATTATAGTATTAAATACTTTTCACCAAAACCAAAAATTGGATAGATTGGACCATCGACCGTATCTCCTTTTTCCAAACACAAAGGAAGTAGATCAATTTAAGTAACCGTTCTCAAATTTATGCAAAATGATACCGGGAATGTAATCGGTCGCTCATTTTCCCCATTCATTCACGGCCTGCAAATTGTAACGAATTTAGGTTAACTACATTAATCAAACTCAGTAGAAATATTTTTGAGCTGCTTTCGGGCTGATACTTAGTGTACGTCAGGATAAGAGCTGTAGGTAGTGTGTCCAATGAGGTGAATTTTATCCAGTAGAAGTGCAAGTGTCGAAAGTATTATCTTTGAATTGACCACAGGGTGACAGGGATCAAACAGAAAAGAATCAAGACCTAAATGATAACATTGAAAATCCACCTGGTGTCACTATAATAAGTTCAAATTGTTTAATTCTCGGTAATTCACTCCTCTGTTTGCTTCATGCTAAATCTAACAGCTGAAACAAACAGGGGTCTGACTCTGAGTTAACAACTTATACTCAAAACGGCATTTTCTAGATGTCTCAGCCTACATATCATAGACTTAGTTGCTGTGGCTTGTGTAGTTACATTATCTGATTGGACATACATCTATTGTTAAATAAGTGTTTTGTTTAAAAATAACTTAAAACTAAGATCTTGATACTAATGACCTCCGTCAATAAAATTAACGCTCTAGGGAAAAAAGTTTGCTGTTTTCAGCATTGTAACAGTCTGTATGCTTTGATCTTCCGCAAATACAACAAGGTGTAAAGTTCTAAAATATTGGATTATAAAAGATAGCATAATATGTCGTTGTAAGAAAAATGTTTTACAGAGCTGGTCGCATAAATACTGCTGCCTATCGAGTGACGGCAAGGCACCTAACAGGCAGCGAAATAATCGGGAAATGAAGTAATCGGGAAAAATTTGAATTACATGGTTCCTGCAAACCGGATAACAGGTTAAATCAAATGATTACATAATATACTGATAAAAAGTGTACCATAATGATATGTATGCGATGTATACCTTAAGGTCAATAAATTTGATTCACAATAAATTTGGTTACAAACATTTTGGTAATACCATAATTTTAGTCACAAATTTCGCAAATTTGTATACTACCTATGGGAAAAGGAAGTAAGAGCCATACTATGACTGTTGTCACGAGTAAAGGCACGGCCTCTTAACACACTGTGCCATTTGTCATGATTTTAGGCTCGATCTCTAAACGTACTATGATAATTGGGATGAAAATAGTAAAATGTGCTGTCACGTCGGCCGGGTGGTTTAGTGGTTTTAATACATTTACTTCCCACACGGACGACTGGGGTTCGATTCCCAGTGGGGACCAATCTGGTTCCCAGTGAGGACCAATTCGGTCGGATGCAGTTCGGCCATCAAACCATGGTTTGATGCTTTCATTAGACCTTCTATTCGAAAAAACTTTTGGCGGAAAAAAAGTTTTTTCAAAAACTACCTATACTACCTTTCCCAGTGTTTCAAGAAATTCCGATCATTTTGAGCCAATAAACATTTTAATGATTTTTGGTTACTTGCTAATTAGTAACTATCCAATTATCTAATTGTCTGACATGAACATTGCATTTGTCTTACAAAAGTTTTTTTCGTCGATATGATAATTACCCTCTATTAATTCGTATCCTTCTACGATGTCCACAGCTGAAGATATTTGACAAACAAGAAAGGAGGTAAAAAGTGGCAAAAGTGGCAAAAAGTGGCCTTAAGACACGTGGACAATTTTGGAAAAGTTGGCCACCCGAATGAAACTTAAAATTGAACCTAAAAACGTCATAAATCCTTTGGAAGCTTCTTCTGTCAGTAGATCGATTTTTTTAGACGGATCTGTCTGTACTATACTGCTATCTTTGCGCTCTGCACTGCAAATGTCCATATCACGCAAAATATTGACCTTATTAGGTAATCGTGACGTCACGTTATCCATGACAGTTGGCACGAGTACTGAATAGACTGTGCCTGCAGTCACGTCAGGCACGGATTATCAGCTAGGTACGGCTTTTGAAAAGCCGAGTGCCTGAGGAGTTGTCACGTATCCTTGGCACGCCCTATAAACACACTACGTACATATGGTCATTACATCTGACCGCACCATGACAACAGTCATGGTGACAACAGTCATGGTGACAACAGTCATAGTATGGTCGGGCCCTTAAATTCTGAGAATAAACTATGGGCGACATTCTTACAATTCCTTTACAATTTTGCTAGAACACCTCTTCTTTAAATTCATGATATTCATTAATCGTTGCTCAGTAGTCATGAATTAAACATACAATTAACAGGTTGGTTACCAGTCGAACGTTACGTGAAAATAGAGTGGGATCTTGAGTCGACACCTTTAGAAATTCAAACTGATAGTTTGCTGGGGAGTGACGATTGGTTGGCAGTGTTCTTCTACTCAGCTGAGGGAGAGAAAGCAGGAGATGTCCGGCTCTCCTTCAGCTCTACTCTAAAATACGGGCTCAGCTTATGCACCTCATCCTACACTAACTTCCCTGTTAATCTCCCCTCTACTGCTGACAAGGTGTGGCGTATCACTCTAACCAGGACTGCAGGTGTTAGACTAGTGATACACTGTAACGAGGTGGAGGTGCTCAGCATACTGCTCTCTCAATCAACGTGTGATGACAGTAGGTGGAGCACGTACTGGAACAGGGACGTAGCAAAGATAATGTTCAGGCCCCGCGACACAGCATCTGATTACTACGGAACACAACCAGGTGACTAATAACAACAAGCATTGGTTTAACAAACAATAACTTTAATTTACGAATAAGCCAACTTGCTGATCTGTAAGCTCGTGATTACGTGTTTTCTGTCTAAATTTCAAGTATGCCATTTAGTTATTTTAACATAAACACATATATTATAGGATATGTGCATTGTGCAATGTTCATTGTGCTTCATAGTTTGTTGATGAAGCGAATTTTTAGAATTAATCCTAATGACTGATAACAATTTGAATTAGTATTGGGCTTAGAACCAAGAAAGAAAATGTGTGGTACGAAATAACAAGAATCGTAAAAGTCTGGGTGGCAATAATTTCTTCGAAAACCGTGGAATATGTGGATATTTAATTTTTCACATATTATTATAAATCTAATGTTATTGTAACACATCTGAACTGTACTCAAATAGTTATATGATAACAATTTTCTTATCTTCCACTACGATTTGCCAGTTTTAACGTTATTAATTCCAGAGCCGTGTGGAGAAGGAACATATCGGAATGATGCTATGACAAGCTGTGAGACATGTGACGCTGGATTGACACCAAACTCTGATAAAACAGCCTGTGGTAAGATAACTTTAAAGCTTATATTTAATATTATTGTTATGTTTTAAATTTGAATTAACTGAGCTATAGAATGAAAACCAAGGATATTGGTACTTACAATAACATCTTAATAATTATAGGTAGTTCAAACGAATTGCTGCTTTTAAAGATTTCCTAATTCTTCAGAGCCATGTCCAGCTGGAAGCTACAAGAACATTGACATGAACACATGTAACGAATGTCCTGATAACACGATCAGTTCAGAAGGAGCAGCCTTGTGTACAACTTGTGAACTTGGCCAGAAACAAAACTCAGGGAGAACTGTGTGTGGTAAGAATTGTTAACAAGAACTGAGCTGAGATGATTATATCTATATAGAATATAGATGGGTAAAGATATGGTAGGAGTTAAGACGTGATAAGGATAAGGCACCAGATAGGGCTAAGAATCAAGAAAGCAAATTAATGGTGGGAAAAGACAAGAACCGTAAGGGCTCAAGAGTCTGGGTTGCAATAATTTCGTCGAAAAACTGTGGAATATGTGGGTATTTAATTTGTCACATATTGTTTCTCTACTGTTATTGTAAAACATCTGAATTGTACTTATATAATAACGATTTTCTTATCTTCCACTAAGATTTGCCAGTTGTAATAATATATAACGTTATAAACCCCTCCGGGATAGAATAAGATTCTGATAATCCCGGCTCCCGCTAAATAGATTCTGATAATCCCGGCTCCCGCTGTTAGTTTTTTCCCGCTGAATAAATAACCCCGGCACAGCTTTTATAATCCCGCCCCGCTAATTTGGCTCAACAAGATTTGTTTTGTTTTGATATTCCATGAGAATTTCAACCGCGTACTGTCACGTGTTTTGATGACGTGTATCACGTGACTAACTACTACGACGCGCATTGGTAAAAATGTCACGTGACCTATGGCTTAACGTAAGAACTATAAATACACTCGATCTACGTATCGGTCTAATTGCAGGCGCTGGCAATACTCCAGCACACTACATTACTTAAACTCTTACATTAATAGGACCAGTTCCAAAACTTGTCTCGACGGTTACATTTGATTTTGTCCGGTTCGGTTAATTTTGTCGAGTTTGATATTTAAGCCATGTATTATAGTCGTCTACTTTGATGAACTTCATGACACGATATCATTATTAGCTTTTATCGCTTGCCAGGCTTAACTCGACGCCCCTTATCGATATTCATATTCATTCAACGTTCTGACTGAGGAATAGTGTTTAGATATAACGCCAATTTCAATTCAAAGTCATAGTACCTTAGTTGTATTTATTTGGAAGTCCCCAATTCCATTTCATATTTTCCATAATGATCTCATATAGCTAGAATTAAGAGTAAAATGTCAAATTTGTTGGTCCTAGCACTAACCCGGAGGGGTTTATAACACATAACACCGGCACGCTTAAGTTATATTAAAATAACCCCTCGTGCTAAAGCACGTCGGGGTTATTTTCATAATAATCCCTCGTGCTTCGCACTCGAAATTATTATAAATTTTTCCCGCGCGTCGCGGGAAAATTGAAATATAATCCCTGCGCATGCCGGGGTTATGTGTGTTATAAAGTTATAATTCCAGAGCCGTGTGGAGAAGGAACATATCGGAATGATGCTATGACAAGCTGTGAGACATGTGACGCTGGATTGACACCAAACTCAGACAAAATAGCCTGTGGTAAGATAACTTTAAAGCTTATATTTAATATTTTGTTGTGTTTTAAATTTAAATTAACTGTGCTATAGAATGAAAATCGAGGATATTGTTACTCACGATAACTTCTTAATATTAATAAGGTAGTTCAAACGAATGGCTGCTTAAAGTTTTGCCAATTCTTCAGAGCCATGTCCAGCTGGAAGCTACAAGAACATTGAGATGAACACATGTGAAGAATGTCTTGATAACACGATCAGTTCAGAAGGAGCAGCCTTGTGTACAGCTTGTGAACTTGGCCAGGAACGAAACTCAGGGAGAACAAAATGTGGTAAGAATTGTTAACAAGAACCGAGCTGAGATGATTATATGTATATTATATAGATGGGCAAGGATAGGCTAAGAGTTAAGACGGTATTAGGATAAGGCGCCAGATAGGACTTAGAATCAAGAAAGCAAATTTGTGGTACGGAAAGACAAGAACCGTAAGACTAAGAGTCTTTGTGGTAATAATTCTATCTAAAAACCGTGGTTGTGTGGATATTTAATTTTTCACCTATTGTTTTAAATCTTATGTAATTGTAACACATCTGAAGTGTACTTGTATAATAACGATTTCCTTATCTTCCACAACGATTTACCAGTTGTAATAATATATAACGTTATAATTCCAGAGCTGTGTGGGGAAGGAACATATCGGAATGATGCTATGACAAGCTGTGAGACATGTGACGCTGGATTGACACCAAACTCAGACAAAATAGCCTGCGGTAAGATAACTTCAAAGCTTATATTTAATATTATTGTTATGTTTTAAATTCAAATTAACTGTGCTATAGAATGAAAACTGAGGATATTGGTACTCACAATAACTTCTAAATAAGGTAGTTCAAACGAATTGCTGCTTAAAGATTTCCTAATTCTTCAGAGCCATGTCCAGCTGGAAGCTACAAGAACATTGAAATGAACACGTGTAAAGAATGTCCTGATAACACGATCAGTTCAAAAGGAACAGCCTTGTGTACAACTTGTGAACTTGGCCAGGAACGAAACTCAGGGAGAACAAAATGTGGTAAGAATTGTTAACAAGAACCGAGCTGAGATGAATATATTTATATATAGATGGGCAAAGATACGTTAAGGGTTAAGACGGGATAAAAATAAGGCGCCAGATAGGGCTAAGAATCAAGAAGGCAAATGTGTGGTACGAAAAGACAAGAACCATAAGGGCGTAAGAGTCTGGGTGGCAATAATTTCCTCGAAAAACCGAGGAATATGTGGATATTTAATTTGTCACACATTGATTAATTAATGTTATTGTAAAACATCTGAACTGTACTTTAAATAATATAATAACGATTTTCTTATCTTCCGCTACGATTTGCCTGTTATAAAGTTATAATTCCAGAGCCGTGTGGAGAAGGAACATATCGAAATGATGCTATGACAAGCTGTGAGACATGTGACGCTGGATTGACTCCAAACTCTGATAAAACAGCCTGTGGTAAGATAACTTTGAAGCTCATTAAATTAAATGTTATTGTTATGTTTTAAATTTGAATTAACTGTGCTATAGAATGATAACCGAAGATATTGGTACTCACAATAACTTCTTGATATTAATATACTTATATAGTAACGATTTCTTATCTTCCACAAAAATTTGCCATTTCTAACGTTAAAATTGTAGAGCCGTGTGGAGAAAAATTATATCGGAATGATGCTATGACAACCTGTGAGACATGTGACGCTGGATTGACACCGAACTCTGACAAAACAGCCTGTGGTAAGATAACTTTAAAGCTTATATTTAATACTATTGTTGTGTTTTAAATTTGAATTAAATGTGCTATAGAATGAAAATCGAAGATATTGTTACTCACGATAACTTCTTAAGGGGGGGGGGGGGGGGGGGGGGGGGGGGGTTCACCCTGATTTTTTTGTGAAACTTGGTTTCGAGATAGTTGACCAACAAACTAAGACCAGTGACCGAACTTTTGAGGGGGTCCCAAACCCCAACCGCCAAACGGTGCCCGCGGGGCAGCCACGCCCATATTTGGTCCAAATTAGGCCCAATTTAGCTAAATAACCTGAACATGCCCAAAAACCAGATTTTATGTGCTCTACTTGTAGCTAGTGGTCCCGTGAACTCGTATATGAATTTTCATCAAGATTGGACAAAAAATGACTGAGTTATGAGCCAAAAACAATATGACCATATTTGGGCATACGCACCAAATTTGATCGACTTTGGCCCATAAATTGGTCAAATATCAATATTTTTGAATGAAACCAACTTTATATGAAAGGTAAGCCTATACTACACATTCTCTATGATTATCAGCTCAGTATCTAACTAACTGTGGATTCTGTGTTCAAATAATCGCAAAAAATGAACAAAATCGCCCATATCTCAGTTCGCGATATTTGCAAAACTGATTTCGCTCAAAACAATAGAACTCAATAGGGTTTCAATATTTTTACATGAAATTTTCAGAATCGACGTAGAATCGCATTTCGACCTTAAGTTTTGTATTGGAATTTGAGTTAGGCCTTTAAAAAAATTTGGCGGCCAAATTCCAAAATTTGCCAGGCATTTTTCCAAGAATTTGGACCAAATATGGGCGTGGCTGCCCCGCGGGCACCGTTTGGCGGTTGGGGTCCGGGACCCCCTCAAAAGTTCGGTCTCTGGTCCTAGTTTGTTGGTCAACTGCTATTTCGAAACCAAGTTTCACAAGAAATCAGGGTGAACCCCCCCCCCCCCCCCCCTTAAGAAGTTATCGTGAGTAACAATATCTTCGATTTTCATTCTATAGCACATTTAATTCAAATTTAAAACACAACAATAGTATTAAATATAAGCTTTAAAGTTATCTTACCACAGGCTGTTTTGTCAGAGTTTGGTGTCAATCCAGCGTCACATGTCTCACATGAACCCCCCCCCCCCCCCCCTTAATATTAAAAAGGTAGTTCAAACGAATTGCTGCTTAAAGATTTCCCAATTCTTCAGAGCCATGTCCAGCTGGAAGCTACAAGAACATTGAGATGAACACATGTAAAGAATGTCCTGATAACACGATCAGTTCAGAAGGAGCAGCCTTGTGTACAGTTTGTGAACTTGGCCAGGAACGAAACTCAGGGAGAACAAAATGTGGTAAGAATTGTTAACAAGAATCGAGCTGAGATGATTATATCTGCATAGATGGACAAAGATAGGATAAGGGTTAAGACGGGATAAGGATAAGGCGCCAGATAGGACTTGGAATCAAGAAGGCAAATTTGTGGTATGCCGTGGTTGTGTGGATATTTAATTATTCACCTATTGTTATAAATCTAATGTTATTGTAACAATGTAACACATCTAAACTGTATTTAAATACTTATATGATAACGATTTTCTTATCTTCCATTACGATTTGCCAGTTGTAACGTTATTAATTCCAGAGCCGTGTGGAGAAGGAACATATCGGAATGATGCTATGACAAGCTGTGAGACATGTGAAGCTGGATTGACACCAAACTCAGACAAAACAGCCTGTGGTAAGATAAATTTAAAGAATAAAGCTTATGTTTAATAATATTGTTGTGTTTTAAATTTAATTAACTGTGCTATAGAATGAAAACCGAGGATATTGGTATTAACAATAAATTCTTAATATTAATAAGGTAGTTCAAACGAATCGTTGCTTAAAGATTTCCTAATTCTTCAGAGCCATGTCCAGCTGGAAGCTACAAGAACATTGAGATTAACACATGTAAAGAATGTCCTGATAACACTATCAGTTCAGAAGGAGCAGCCTTGTGTACAGCTTGTGAACTTGGCCAGGAACGAAATTCAGAAAGAACAAAATGTGGTAAGAATTGTTAACAAGAATCGAGCTGAGATGATTTTATCTGCATAAATGAGCAAAGATAGGATAAGGGTTAAGACAGGATAAGCATAAGGCGCCAGATAGGGCTTAGAATCAAGAAGGCAAATTTGTGGTACGAAAAGGCTAGAACCGTAAAAGTTTGGGTGGTAATAATTCTATCAAAAAAACCGTGGTTGTGTGGATATTTAATTTTTCACATATTGTTAAAAATCTAATGTTATTGTAACACATCTGAACTGTACTTAAATAGTTATATAATAACGATTTTCTTATCTCCCATTGCGATTTGCCAGTTTTAACGTTATTAATTCCAGAGCCGTGTGGAGAAGGAAAATATCGGAATGATGCTATGCCAAGCTGTAAGACATGTGAAGCTGGATTGACACCAAACTCTGACAAAACAGCCTGTGGTAAGATAACTTTAAAGCTTATGTTTAAAAATATTGTTGTGTTTTAAATTTAATTAACTGTGCTATAGAATGAGAACCGAGGATATTGGTACTCACAATAACTTCTTAATATTAATAAGGTAGTTCAAACGAATCGTTGCTTAAAGATTTCCTAATTCTTCAGAGCCATGTCCAGCTGGAAGCTACAAGAACATTGAGATGAACACATGTAAAGAATGTCCTGATAACACGATCAGTTCAGAAGGAGCAGCCTTGTGTACAGTTTGTGAACTTGGCCAGGAACGAAACTCAGGGAGAACAAAATGTGGTAAGAATTGTTAACAAGATTCGAGCTGAGATGATTATATCTACATAGATGGGCAAAGATAGGATAAGGGTTAAGACAGGATAAGAATAAGGCGCCAGATAGGGCTTAGAATCAAGAAGGCAAATTTGTGGTACGAAAAGACAAGAACCGTAAGAGTCTGGGTGGTAATAATTCTATCAAAAAACCGTGGTTGTGTGGATATTTAGTTATTCACCTATTGTTTTAAATCTAATTTGATTGTAACACATCTGAAGTGTACGTCTTATATAATAACGATTTCCTTATCTTCCACAACGATTTACCAGTTGTAATAATATATAACGTTATAATTCCAGAGCCGTGTCGGGAAGGAACATATCGAAATGATGCTATGACAAGCTGTGAGACATGTGACGCTGGATGGAAACCAAACACTAACAAAACTGCCTGTGGTAAGATAACTTTAAATCTTATATTATTGTTATGTTTTAAATTCAATTTAACTGCGCTACAGAATGGTAAATTGTATACAGTATTTGAGACTTGGACCCCCGAGCAAACGATAGTGTAGTTATATTTGAGGTTGCTTGAAAGGGTTCGGGTTGGGACAGAAAAATTAAATCGCGGAACTGCGGAAGAGAACATAAGAAACCGTCAAAATAACCCTTATTAATCAGTTTAACGTGATTTAATATGACATATCGACAGTGAGCTGTACGGGACTGAATGCTGAGTGGAGAACTGCGATCAGAACAACAACACAGTTCCCAGTAGTCCCAGGAACCGTGGTGAAAGTGAATTGTATTGAATCCAGAGCTCTCAATAAAGGGAGCAGCGAGGTGACCTGCACCTCAGGAACGGAATTTATTTTCGATTTTAATGAACCCGAGTGTATGAATACAGGTATAATTGTAGAATCAGATATGCTAAATGACCATAGCATCTCTACAAAAGGATAACTAAACACTTCATATAACCAGGGTAGTATCAGCATAACCGACAAAAGGGGGTAAAATAATGTCGTAATGCTGTAATGGGGAGAGTTGGTTAATGGTTATATTACTAAAGAAAACTGATTTAATTTAATCTTACAGTTGATGGGCTATGACAAATAGCTCAGATGATACTGCAATCTAACTTAGATATCTAAATAAGAAAATGTATGTTTGAGTTTTCTGAGTGGAAAAGTATGACAGCAGAAACCCAATACCCAAAAGTCCCCAGAAAAGTTATCGAGGTAACCTGCTCTGAGATCTCGACACAGGGAGCAGCATACAAAGCAAAATAAAATGTAAAATCAATTTAAATTCAAAAATGTAACAAAAGAATGCATTTTCATTCAACATAGTAAAACACTTTGTTTCATAAATTCATTAAATGTAAACTAAAACACTTAATACAATCGTAAGATGTACGTAGAATCCAGCTCAATTTTACAGCATAAACCCTTGATGATATAGTCTAGCAAATATTAGAAACTAACCGCAAATCCGGTGATTTCCATTTAAAATGACAAAAACCAGAAGATCTTAATAAAGTCTAATTTTAATCTTCTCCTATCTCAAGTTATTAATTAACTACCCCAGGAACAATGACGATGATGTATAAAGTCTATACGAATGTCGACAGAATAGAGATGAACAGGAAGAAAGTGAGAGAATATCAGCTCCAATTAATCTATGAGAATTCAAGGTTAGTAAGAAAAATGTTTGTTTTTTTCGTCATATACTGCAACACTTCTATTTTGCTGAATTCCTAAAATTCAATTGCTGTTTGATACACACATTGATATTATCTAACTTATTTTGACCTTGACTGTGAACAAATTTACTTTCGCATTTTGAACATGAACCGTGCTGATTACCAGAAATTACATGCACAATACCAGAAATAATGTGTCACTCAGCAATCAAATCACTATTTTAGAATACAGATTACAGAAACGAGCTTAATGGCATTGATAAGTGATGAATACCCTGAAAAAAGACACATAACTCCATCACTGTGAGACATATTTGTGTTTTTAAACATTCATAAAAATTATTCAATTTAAATAAATATTATTTATAAATATGTATTTAACATTAAACAAAATTCAAAATCTATTCAAAGATTTAACAAAGGTTTGATGTATTGCTATAATTTCATATTACAACAATTTGTTTCAGACCCTTACTCAGTAGGAACGAACCTTTCAACTGAAAAGATGTGAATCCTTTGTTGACCATTTTATGAGCTGTGAGCAGTAAGTACAAGAAGCGGAGGGTTACTCTTTTCGTCGAAATCTTTCAAAAAACTGCTCAATCAATATCCAAAAAATTTTAACATTATTAGGCTTATTTTAATACTTCTCATACAAAGTTACAACAAAGTCTTCATGTTATGAAACCTGGGTTTGGACAGGATAATATTACCCGCCTAAAATATTTCCATCGCGTTACATAATACTCAATAAATGTAATAGATTTGTAGTGTTGTAATTAGTTTTGCTGCTGAAGTGTATCCAGCCCTAATATATAACAACCTTAGAAAAGCAAACTTACTTACTTTCGTTTTTAAACCTACTTTCAGCTTTTATCAGCAGTTACAATTACGGTACGTACCTATACCTAATACGTAGAATCTAGTTAATTGTAATAACATACACCATTGATAGCTTGGTGATATTGTCTAGCAAATATTAGAAACTGACTGGAAATCCGGTGCTTTCCATTTCAAATGGCAAAAGCGAGAAGATCTTTATATCGTCAATTAATGATAATTTACTCTTATTTTAAGTTATTAATAACCAACTCCAGGAACGAAGACGATGCTGCATAAAGACTATACGGATGTTCAACAGAGAGGATATCAGCTTCAACCAATTAATGAGAATTGAAGGTTAGTAAAAAATGCCCCTTTTTAAGTGCTTTTTCGTGATAACACTTCTATTGTGCTGAATTCCTAAAATTCACTTGCTGTTTGATACACACATTGATATTATCTAACTTATTTTGAACTTGACTGTGAACAAATTTACTTTCGCATTTTAAACATGAACTGTGCTGATCACCAGAAATTACATGTACAATACCAGAAATAATGTGTCACTCGGCAATAAAACCACCATTTCAGAATACAGATTACAGCAACGAGCTTCATGGCATTGATAAGTGATCAATAGTTACCCTGAAAAAGACACATAACTCCATCACTGTGAGACATATTTGTGTTTATAAACATTTATAAACATTATTCAATATTAAATACATGTTATTTATAAATATGTACTTAACATTAAACAAAATTCAAAATCTATTCAAAGATTTAACAAAGTTTTGATGTTTTGCTATTATATCATATTATAACAATTTATTTCAGACTCTTACTCAGTAGGAACGAACCTTTCAACTTACATAACAAAATGTGAAACCTTTGTAAACATTGTTAGGCAGCTGCGAATAGTAAGTACAAGAAGTGAAAAATATTCTTCTCGTTTAAATTTTTCTACAAACTGTTCAATAATTATTATTTCATGAAATATGATCATTTCTAGTTTAACATTCGAACACGAAATGTGGTGTTTACCAAAAACTACATAATAACAAATTCTTGTCACTCAACCATTTCAGAATCCAGCAACGAGCCTCATGATATTGAAACGAAGATCACGAGAAAAGACACAGACCTCCGCCACTGAGATACTGCTGTAAGTCCTTATACTAAGCTACAGATAATTTTGAAAAATTCAACACAGATTATCCATATTTTCTAGGAATTCATTTTTCATCAATACTTAAAGTTAATAAATTAATTTAAAGCATCGACTGTGCACCATTCAATGAATAGTGTTGATAAAATCATTATGATTAATATAAAACAGTCTCCAGAGTTCAGTCTACAGAGATTTATAAGGGTAGGGTGAGCCAATCACATCAACTCTTTTCTCGGTTTGGACGTTTCTGTTTGTATGTTTCTCGCTACTGAATTTGCAAATTATAATACTAATAGGGTAGTCAGTTCAAGCCAAGGGGAAACGGGGCTAAGGTACAGTGTCCACCATAAAACTGAAAGGTAGCAAAAGTAGGAGTGATAGGGGGAGCAGTCGCCGTTTTCACATAGCCTCGGCAGTCGCGCGCTACTGCAAGCGAGAGGGCTCTGGTTAGAGCAAGTCGCCCTTTATAATAAGACAATACGGTTTAATAAAATGATTTTAATAGTAATGGTAATGAACAAAATGAGGTTTCATTTGACCGAAGAGCCGCTGTTGGAAAAACAGTGAAACGTCCTGTTTAAATCGAGCCATCGTTTCCTATTGCCAAATAAAATTACACATTTCTCATGCTCTCGAAGTTCACTCGATAACTCACTGTCCCTCTCGGCCCCACACAGATTCTCGCAGCTCCTTACTGCTCCACACCGCTCCTCGCTACTTTCTCTTACATTAAATACACGAGCCCGTACTAGATTGTTAAAAGCCGGAAATTGTCTGATCTATTAAGCAGAATTGTCGCAGATAATATGGTAGGCTGCAGCTTTGCAGGTAATAATGTGAGAGTGTTCACTGCACGTGAACTGCACTGTACAGTGTACACTGGTTACCGTCCTCGGTACAGCCACTAGTTTAATAAATCTATACCGTATTTTATAGTGGCGCTCCTTTACCTTTGTATCGTATTTTATAGTTTATTACCTTTGTTTTTCGATTTCGCATATAAAGTCATATTTTATAGTTTAACGTTAGGCATGTTCATTCAATGATTTGTTGCAATGAAGAAATAAAACAAATAATTTGTAAAATAAAATGCTATCTATCAATTCGGCAATGGGCACCCGTCTGAGAATTACAGATTAAGCTGCAATGCATTACTCATGACTTTCAATAACATCAGATCCAAAGTCTGTGACTCTGTATCACTAAGTTTTTCAGTAGGCTGTTCGGTTTATTTTTCACCCTTTTCCGACTTTACCTTGGCTACCGTGGTTACCGTGGTTACCACTGCACCTTGTCTCACTGTACATTAACACATAGATAATGGACATCAAGTTCTTAACGGTTTATGTCGTTAATTACTGTTAATTACTGTTAATGCTATTCTTAATGTTCATCACTATATGAGTATAAGTGGTGTGTTCTCAGTATATTTTTGCAAGGATATTTGAAGATTCGAAATATTAATCGTTTGTTTTAAATCTTTAATAGTAGATTATATATTTTATATGCAACAAGGTCATCGTCAGTGATTTCTGCTAATAATATTGCAATTACTCAGAGATGACATGCCTTGCAACATGTTTTACGATAGCCTGTAAATTGATAGTTTGATCTCAGTATTTACAACAAATCATCTAGCTTGATTGATTCAAAGGGAGAATTAAATTCCTCTGTTACTCAGAGATGATTAACCTAATAACCTAATAACTTGAAAAGAATATACTTAATTTCCAGTGCAATGGCAACTTTATTTCTATTATTTCTCACAGCAACATTAAGATCGTGCCAATCTTGCAACTTCCCTCCATTTTCTTAGCTTTGCCGAATGAGGCTAATAGCTGGTTTTAATATCTTCGTTTTAATCTCTAATCTTTTTTGTGGGAGCAGGTTGTGTCTAATTTTTCTTCAAATTTTTCAACCGGTTTGGCAGTGTGAAAGATATTCAAAATTAGTATTGTAAAGGAATTTCTGTTTTTGTGAATTAAGGACGGTGCTTTGCATTCAGCATACTGCAAGGTCGGCTAAGAGAGCAAATGAGGCCGGTTAATTGTCAGGTAGAGGTTTTTTATTGGAGGAGGAAACATCCAACTAGCAAGTGTACCAACTAGGAAGGGGGGGGGGGGGGGGGGGGGGTGTCGTCTTAGGGGGGCGCCAAATCGTCGTTTGAATGTGGGACAATTTCGAAAACTATTTATTATTTTATGATTATTTATATACTTATGAGAGAACTTCAGGATTCTTGCGGAGGGGCCTAATTCTCACAAATTTGTCACTGGGTGACGACTTAGACCTAAATAGAGTACTGTCAGGTTTTAACACTATTTACGAATTTCCGAACAATTGAAAAAGTTTATACAATTTCTGATCCAGTAATTATTTTTCTGCAAATTTCTATTTTCTACTTAATTTCGCAGCGATGATAGAGATTGAGGAGAACGTAAGTTTGTACATGTTTGCAAGTGGGAGGCACACGAGCGAGCTCGGGATCCTGGTCATGTGGCTCTTCTTCGTACTCTTCCTAGGTTCGTACTCTTCCTAGGTTTGTACTCTTCCTAGGTTCGTACTCTTCCTAGGTTCGTACTCTTCCTAGGTTTGTACCCTAGAGAAAGGGGGTACATGTCATGTGGCTCTTCTTCGTACTCTTCCTAGGTTTGTACCCTTAGAGAGTAGAGAAGGGGGGTACATGTCATGTGGCTCTTCTTCGTACTCTTCCTAGGTTCGTACTCTAGAGAAGGGGGGTACATGTCATGTGGCTCTTCTTCGTACTCTTCCTAGGTTCGTACTCTAGAGAAGGGGGGTACATGTCATGTGGCTCTTCTTCGTACTCTTCCTAGGTTCGTACTCTAGAGAAGGGGGGTACATGTCATGTGGCTCTTCTTCGTACTCTTCCTAGGTTCGTACTCTAGAGAAGGGGGGTACATGTCATGTGGCTCTTCTTCGTATTCTTCCTAGGTTTGTACCCTAGAGAAGGGGGGTACATGTCATGTGGAAGAGAGTGGGGAGGGGGTACATGTCATGTGAGAGAGTGGGGAGGGGGTACAGAGAGGGGGAGGGGGAGGGGTACAGAGAGGGCGATGGGGGTACAGAGAGGGGGATTTAAGAAATTTAATTCTGAACAAAATTCCAAGCTCCATTAATTAGTGGTGTTGCAATTGCACAGTCAATGATCAATATTCTAGACAAATTGTTGATTCGAAAGAAAATTAAATATATTATATTGCGATACGTGTCTCGTGATCAATAATTACTCCTTTATCAATAATCTCATTGTAGATGAGCGAGACTCTTATAATATTAGTTGCCTATTATCTTTATCGTGATATAAATTTCATATCACAATGTTATACCGAGTGGATTGTTGAATAAATATTGCGTTTTTAAAACCTAATAATAATAAAACTTTAATAGTAAAGACGACAATGGGTTAGTTTGCTTGGTTTGATTGGTTAAGAATGGTTATTATCGGTTAAAAACGATCGAATAACCTCCCAGGAAACCTTATTGGCTTGGGCCTATCTCCGAAAGTAAAATATATCGACTTCCGGTTTTCAGCAAAATTTTCGTCCCTTGAAACTTAAGTTAGCTCCCCAGGAGCAAAATTTGGGACAACCTAGGTTTTGAGTGATCCCAAAAAGTCTTATTTTGGGCCGAATAAACGTTCACAACTTTAACTTTGCGGGTTCCAGTCCTCTGATTGGCTGAATTGTGTCACGTGCAGCTTGGACAATGGAATGCGTCAGGCGTGCAACATTTCCAATAAGTTAAAATTGTGTCATAACAAACAACAGGTTACCTAGGTGTTACCCACTCGTTACCTAGGTTACCAAGGTGTTACCCACTCGTTACCTAGGTTACCTAGGTGTTACCCACTCGTTACCTAGGTTACCTAGGTGTTACCAACTCGTTACCTAGGTTACCTAGGTGTTACCCACTCGTTACCTAGGTTACCTAGGTGTTACCCACTCGTTACCTAGGTTACCTAGGTGTTACCAACTCGTATGAATTTATGAATTTATGCAGTAAAGTAAATTAATCTACCTTCCTTTCAGGTACAGGATCTTCTGTAATAACAGCGCTGTCGTGGATCAGGGGGATACTTCTAGGCTTCAACAGAAACAAGTTAGTTAAACTTATAGTGTGTTACCATAGCAACAAGTTAGTTAAACTAGTGTGTTACCATAGCAACAAGTTAGTTAAACTAGTGTGTTACCATAGCATTTAGCAATTAACAATTTAGTTAAACTAGTGTGTTACCATAGTAACAAGTTAGTTAAACTAGTGTGTTACCGTAGCAACAAGTTAGTTAAGCTAGTGTATTACTATAGTAACAAGTTAGTTAAACTAGTGTATTACCATAGTAACAAGTTAGTTAAACTAGTGTATTACCATAGTAACAAGTTAGTTAAACTAGTGTATTACCATAGCAACAAGTTAGTTAAACTAGTGTGTTACCATAGCAACAAGTTAGTTAAACTAGTGTGTTACCATAGTAACAAGTTAGTCATAAACTAGTGTGTTACCATAGTAACAAGTTAGTTAAACTAGTGTGTTACCATAGTAACAAGTTATTTAAACTAGTGTATTACCATAGCAACAAGTTAGTTAGACTAGTGTGTTACCATAGCAACAAGTTAGTTAAGCTAGTGTATTACCATAGCAACAAGTTAGTTAAACTAGTGTATTACCATAGTAACAAGTTAGTTAAACTAGTGTATTACCATAGCAACAAGTTAGTTAAACTAGTGTATTACTATAGTAACAAGTTAGTTAAACTAGTGTATTACCATAGCAACAAGTTAGTTAAACTAGTGTGTTACCATAGCAACAAGTTAGTCATAAACTAGTGTGTTACCATAGTAACAAGTTAGTTAAACTAGTGTGTTACCATAGTAACAAGTTATTTAAACTAGTGTATTACCATAGCAACAAGTTAGTTAGACTAGTGTGTTACCATAGCAACAAGTTAGTTAAGCTAGTGTATTACCATAGCAACAAGTTAGTTAAACTAGTGTATTACCATAGTAACAAGTTAGTTAAACTAGTGTATTACCATAGCAACAAGTTAGTTAAACTAGTGTATTACTATAGTAACAAGTTAGTTAAACTAGTGTATTACCATAGCAACAAGTTAGTTAAACTAGTGTGTTACCATAGCATTTAGCAATTAACAATTTAGTTAAACTAGTGTGTTACCATAGTAACAAGTTAGTTAAACTAGTGTGTTACCGTAGCAACAAGTTAGTTAAGCTAGTGTATTACTATAGTAACAAGTTAGTTAAACTAGTGTATTACTATAGTAACAAGTTAGTTAAACTAGTGTATTACCATAGCAACAAGTTAGTTAAACTAGTGTGTTACCATAGCAACAAGTTAGTTAAACTAGTGTGTTACCATAGTAACAAGTTAGTCATAAACTAGTGTGTTACCATAGTAACAAGTTAGTTAAACTAGTGTGTTACCATAGTAACAAGTTATTTAAACTAGTGTATTACCATAGCAACAAGTTAGTTAGACTAGTGTGTTACCATAGCAACAAGTTAGTTAAGCTAGTGTATTACCATAGCAACAAGTTAGTTAAACTAGTGTATTACCATAGTAACAAGTTAGTTAAACTAGTGTATTACCATAGCAACAAGTTAGTTAAACTAGTGTATTACCATAGTAACAAGTTAGTTAAACTAGTGTATTACCATAGCAACAAGTTAGTTAAACTAGTGTGTTACCATAGCAACAAGTTAGTTAAACTATAACTAGTTTGTTACCATAGCAACAAGTTAGTTAAACTAGTGTATTACTATAGTAACAAGTTAGTTAAACTAGTGTATTACCATAGTAACAAGTTAGTTAAACTATAACTAGTGTGTTACCATAGCAACAAGTTAGTTAAACTTATAGTGTGTTACCATAGCAACAAGTTAGTTAAAGTAGTGTGTTACCATAGTAACAAGTTAGTTAAACTAGTGTGTTACCATAGCAACAAGTTAGTTAAACTAGTGTGTTACCATAGCAACAAGTTAGTTAGACTAGTGTGTTACCATAGCAACAAGTTAGTTAAAGTAGTGTGTTACCATAGCAACAAGTTATTTAAACTAGTGTATTACTATAGTAACAAGTTAGTTAAACTAGTGTGTTACCATAGCAACAAGTTAGTTAAACTAGTGGGCTACATTATTCACTTCGGAATATGGGCCTAATGAGTGAGTAACAATTAGATAATTAAGTTAAATAGTCGAGATAATTGGAAATTATTCCAATAAACATTTGGCCTTTATTGGGCCATTAAAACTTCGTGAAGGCCATGGGTGCTATGCGAAAAAAGGCTTATGAAAAGCCCGTGATAATCAGATGTTCACAAACAGAGCTAGACGCTGTTTGCCAACTGCGGTCGCATACGGCCCATCACGTTTTTCGGCTATCACTTCTGAAACGAAGACGTTAGGATAAAATAAAAACTGTTGCATAAGATAAAACATATGGCCGATACCATGTCTCCCACTCGGCTTACTTGTATTTTTACATAATATGTGCATGTAGATTTTTGAATTCGGTCTACAAAATGACATAAAAAGTGCAAAATCGCCTCAAAAGCGAGTGATTATCACCATAAACTGCGAAAAATTGGTTAAATGGGTCATTAGAGACCCACTAGGACCAAAAAATTGGCAATTGTGGGGCTACACATAAACGATCAAGGCAACACTAAGGTTATGACATTGAATATGGAGGATCAATCTAGTGACCTTCAAAGTCAATCTGGGAAAACCATAGAAAATGTGAATGATTTCATCTACTTAAGCTCCTGGATCGAGAGCACAGTTAAGGAGATAAGGGGTAGAAAAGAAAAATCAGAGGGTGCCCTACATAGCAAGGCCGACCATGTTACTGAAGGAAGTTGGGACAAACTATAAAGAGGAACTGTTAACCCTGATGCGGGACAGGGATATATGGAGGGGGTTATCTGTCGTAGATCGGACTTAGTTCCGACAAAGTAGCAGTAGTAGTTGCTGTGAGGTGACCTAGTGTGTTAAATGGAATCAAAATCGACAAATTCGTCGTCCCTATTGGGTTAAAGTAACGACGCCAACTTTTACTAGATTCGGGGCAGCTCTGATTTTAATGGGTTAAAGTAACGACCCCAACTTTTACTAGATTCGGGGCAGCTCTGATTCTAATGGGTTAAAGTAACGACCCCAACTTTTACTAGATTCGGGGCAGCTCTGATTCTAATGGGTTAAAGTAACGACCCCAACTTTTACTAGATTCGGGGCAGCTCTGATTCTAATGGGTTAAAATAACGACCCCAACTCTTACTAGATTCGGGGCAGCTCTGATTCTAATGGGTTAAAGTAACGACCCCAACTCTTACTAGATTCGAGGCAGCTCTGATTATATTGGGTTAAAGTAACGACCCCAACTTTTACTAGATTCGGGGCAGCTCTGATTCTAATGGGTTAAAGTAACGACCCCAACTTTTACTAGATTCGGGGCAGCTCTGATTATATTGGGTTAAAGTAACGACCCCAACTCTTACTAGATTCGAGGCAGCTCTGATTCTAATGGGTTAAAGTAACGACCCCAACTTTTACTAGATTCGGGGCAGCTCTGATTCTAATGGGTTAAAGTAACGACCCCAACTTTTACTAGATTCGGGGCAGCTCTGATTCTAATGGGTTAAAGTAACGACCCCAACTTTTACTAGATTCGGGGCAGCTCTGATTCTAATGGGTTAAAGTAACGACCCCAACTCTTACTAGATTCGAGGCAGCTCTGATTCTAATGGGTTAAAGTAACGACCCCAACTTTTACTAGATTCGGGGCAGCTCTGATTCTAATGGGTTAAAGTAACGACCCCAACTTTTACTAGATTCGGGGCAGCTCTGATTCTAATGGGTTAAAGTAACGACCCCAACTTTTACTAGATTCGGGGCAGCTCTGATTCTAATGGGTTAAAGTAACGACCCCAACTTTTACTAGATTCGGGGCAGCTCTGATTCTAATGGGTTAAAGTAACGACCCCAACTTTTACTAGATTCGGGGCAGCTCTGATTCTAATGGGTTTAAGTAACGACCCCAACTTTTACTAGATTCGGGGCAGCTCTGATTCTAATGGGTTAAAGTAACGACCCCAACTTTTACTAGATTCGGGGCAGCTCTGATTCTAATGGGTTAAAGTAACGACCCCAACTTTTACTAGATTCGGGGCAGCTCTGATTCTAATGGGTTAAAGTAACGACCCCAACTTTTAATAGATTCGGGGCAGCTCTGATTCTAATGGGTTAAAGTAACGACCCCAACTTTTACTAGATTCGGGGCAGCTCTGATTCTGAACTTAACTATGGTTGACCTCCTATTTCTCGTCCTCATCGTCTTTCCTCGTGGAATTACTGTGGCTGCAGACAGGTTTAGTGGATTATTAATTATTAATCAATTAGCAACTAATATTTGCTGATTTAAGACTTTCCGGACATTTGACTTGATTGACATAATATTATGATTCTATATAAAAGATGTAAACCTTAATTACTTTACATCTCACCCGTAACCCCACCCATTAAACCGTGACGTACTTGCAGATGGGTGTTTGGCTGGTCAGGGTGTGGCTTCTTCCCTCTCGCAGAAGAGTACCTGACCCTGACCCGGACTATTACCTTTCTGGTCTTGTCCCTTTATCCAGTATTCTGCAACATGCCCAGTAGGAACACTGCTGGTATTGTCAGGGTGAGTTACTAGTGGTAACTAGTGGTAACTAGTGGTTACTAGAGGTAACTAGTGGTTACTAGTGGTTACTAGTGGTACCTAGTGGTTACTAGTAGTTACTAGTGGTAACTAGTGGTAACTAGTGGTAACTAGTGGTAACTAGTGGTAACTAGTGGTTACTAGTGGTTACTAGTGGTTACTAGTGGTTACTAGTGGTTACTAGTGGTTACTAGTGGTAACTAGTGGTAACTAGTGGTACCTAGTGGTTACTAGTGGTTACTAGTGGTAACTAGTGGTTACTAGTGGTTACTAGTGGTTACTAGTGGTAACTAGTGGTTAATAGTGGTTACTAGTGGTTACTAGTGGTTACTAGTGGTTACTAGTGGTTACTAGTGGTTACTAGTGGTTATTTTACTTTGTAATATAACGTCAGGTTGTTAATGTTCATTGTAGGTTATAATAGCAGGTTCGTAAAATTGATCTCAATTACGTAATTTCAACTCAATTAGTGAACGTAATTGTCACGTTGGTTACCATGGTAATGGATTCTATAATTGTAACGTTGGTTACCATGGTAATGGATTCTATAATTGTAACTTCTTTTAACAGAGTGGCCTGCTGCTAGCATTTATCTGGTGTCTGGGACTAATTCCCCTCATCACCTCCATCGCATCAGGCTTCGGAATGCACATCGAGTATACGTGAGTCATTGCAACATGAGTTTGTGTTAGTTTTAAGTCTTAATGCTGATTATATTGCATAATATAACGCTGTAATGGTCGGTAAGATTCTAAATACTCCGCAAAACATGCAGGTCCGGATACGGAGGATGTGCAATACACACCACAACGGACACCAACTACAGACCCTCTCTAATCCTCTTCTCCAATCTCATCGTGCAGGGGTTCCTGGTGGTTATCACTACGTGCAGCTCTATCGTTCTCTTCAGAAAGTTAGTGTCTTGTAATTGTTATCACCACGTGCAGCTCTATCGTTCTCTTCAGAAAGTTAGTGTCTTGTAATTGTTATCACCACGTGCAGCTCTATCGTTCTCTTCAGAAAGTTAGTGTCTTGTAATTGTTATCACCACGTGCAGCTCTATCGTTCTCTTCAGAAAGTTAGTGTCTTGTAATTGTTATCACCACGTGCAGCTCTATCGTTCTCTTCAGAAAGTTAGTGTAGCTTGTAATTGTTATCACCACGTGCAGCTCTATCGTTCTCTTCAGAAAGTTAGTGTCTTGTAATTGTTATCACCACGTGCAGCTCTATTGTTCTCTTCAGAAAGTTAGTGTCTTGTAATTGTTATCACCACGTGCAGCTCTATCGTTCTCTTCAGAAAGTTAGTGTCTTGTAATTGTTATCACCACGTGCAGCTCTATCGTTCTCTTCAGAAAGTTAGTGTCTTGTAATTGTTATCACCACGTGCAGCTCTATCGTTCTCTTCAGAAAGTTAGTGTCTTGTAATTGTTATCACCACGTGCAGCTCTATCGTTCTCTTCAGAAAGTTAGTGTCTTGTAATTGTTATCACCACGTGCAGCTCTATCGTTCTCTTCAGAAAGTTAGTGTCTTGTAATTGTTATCACCACGTGCAGCTCTATCGTTCTCTTCAGAAAGTTAGTGTCTTGTAATTGTTATCACCACGTGCAGCTCTATCGTTCTCTTCAGAAAGTTAGTGTCTTGTAATTGTTATCACCACGTGCAGCTCTATCGTTCTCTTCAGAAAGTTAGTGTCTTGTAATTGTTATCACCACGTGCAGCTCTATCGTTCTCTTCAGAAAGTTAGTGTCTTGTAATTGTTATCACCACGTGCAGCTCTATCGTTCTCTTCAGAAAGTTAGTGTCTTGTAATTGTTATCACCACGTGCAGCTCTATCGTTCTCTTCAGAAAGTTAGTGTCTTGTAATTGTTATCACCACGTGCAGCTCTATCGTTCTCTTCAGAAAGTTAGTGTCTTGTAATTGTTATCACCACGTGCAGCTCTATCGTTCTCTTCAGAAAGTTAGTGTCTTGTAATTGTTATCACCACGTGCAGCTCTATCGTTCTCTTCAGAAAGTTAGTGTCTTGTAATTGTTATCACCACGTGCAGCTCTATCGTTCTCTTCAGAAAGTTAGTGTCTTGTAATTGTTATCACCACGTGCAGCTCTATCGTTCTCTTCAGAAAGTTAGTGTCTTGTAATTGTTATCACCACGTGCAGCTCTATCGTTCTCTTCAGAAAGTTAGTGTCTTGTAATTGTTATCACCACGTGCAGCTCTATCGTTCTCTTCAGAAAGTTAGTGTCTTGTAATTGTTATCACCACGTGCAGCTCTATCGTTCTCTTCAGAAAGTTAGTGTCTTGTAATTGTTATCACCACGTGCAGCTCTATCGTTCTCTTCAGAAAGTTAGTGTCTTGTAATTGTTATCACCACGTGCAGCTCTATCGTTCTCTTCAGAAAGTTAGTGTCTTGTAATTGTTATCACCACGTGCAGCTCTATCGTTCTCTTCAGAAAGTTAGTGTCTTGTAATTGTTATCACCACGTGCAGCTCTATCGTTCTCTTCAGAAAGTTAGTGTCTTGTAATTGTTATCACCACGTGCAGCTCTATCGTTCTCTTCAGAAAGTTAGTGTCTTGTAATTGTTATCACCACGTGCAGCTCTATCGTTCTCTTCAGAAAGTTAGTGTAGCTTGTAATTGTTATCACCACGTGCAGCTCTATCGTTCTCTTCAGAAAGTTAGTGTCTTGTAATTGTTATCACCACGTGCAGCTCTATCGTTCTCTTCAGAAAGTTAGTGTCTTGTAATTGTTATCACCACGTGCAGCTCTATCGTTCTCTTCAGAAAGTTAGTGTCTTGTAATTGTTATCACCACGTGCAGCTCTATCGTTCTCTTCAGAAAGTTAGTGTCTTGTAATTGTTATCACCACGTGCAGCTCTATCGTTCTCTTCAGAAAGTTAGTGTCTTGTAATTGTTATCACCACGTGCAGCTCTATCGTTCTCTTCAGAAAGTTAGTGTCTTGTAATTGTTATCACCACGTGCAGCTCTATCGTTCTCTTCAGAAAGTTAGTGTCTTGTAATTGTTATCACCACGTGCAGCTCTATCGTTCTCTTCAGAAAGTTAGTGTCTTGTAATTGTTATCACCACGTGCAGCTCTATCGTTCTCTTCAGAAAGTTAGTGTCTTGTAATTGTTATCACCACGTGCAGCTCTATCGTTCTCTTCAGAAAGTTAGTGTCTTGTAATTGTTATCACCACGTGCAGCTCTATCGTTCTCTTCAGAAAGTTAGTGTCTTGTAATTGTTATCACCACGTGCAGCTCTATCGTTCTCTTCAGAAAGTTAGTGTCTTGTAATTGTTATCACCACGTGCAGCTCTATCGTTCTCTTCAGAAAGTTAGTGTCTTGTAATTGTTATCACCACGTGCAGCTCTATCGTTCTCTTCAGAAAGTTAGTGTCTTGTAATTGTTATCACCACGTGCAGCTCTATCGTTCTCTTCAGAAAGTTAGTGTCTTGTAATTGTTATCACCACGTGCAGCTCTATTGTTCTCTTCAGAAAGTTAGTGTCTTGTAATTGTTATCACCACGTGCAGCTCTATCGTTCTCTTCAGAAAGTTAGTGTCTTGTAATTGTTATCACCACGTGCAGCTCTATTGTTCTCTTCAGAAAGTTAGTGTCTTGTAATTGTTATCACCACGTGCAGCTCTATCGTTCTCTTCAGAAAGTTAGTGTAGCTTGTAATTGTTATCACCACGTGCAGCTCTATCGTTCTCTTCAGAAAGTTAGTGTCTTGTAATTGTTATCACCACGTGCAGCTCTATCGTTCTCTTCAGAAAGTTAGTGTAGCTTGTAATTGTTATCACCACGTGCAGCTCTATTGTTCTCTTCAGAAAGTTAGTGTCTTGTAATTGTTATCACCACGTGCAGCTCTATCGTTCTCTTCAGAAAGTTAGTGTCTTGTAATTGTTATCACCACGTGCAGCTCTATCGTTCTCTTCAGAAAGTTAGTGTAGCTTGTAATTGTTATCACCACGTGCAGCTCTATTGTTCTCTTCAGAAAGTTAGTGTCTTGTAATTGTTATCACCACGTGCAGCTCTATTGTTCTCTTCAGAAAGTTAGTGTAGCTTGTAATTGTTATCACCACGTGCAGCTCTATTGTTCTCTTCAGAAAGTTAGTGTCTTGTAATTGTTATCGCCACGTGCAGCTCTATCGTTCTCTTCAGAAAGTTAGTGTAGCTTGTAATTGTTATCACCACGTGCAGCTCTATTGTTCTCTTCAGAAAGTTAGTGTCTTGTAATTGTTATCGCCACGTGCAGCTCTATTGTTCTCTTCAGAAAGTTAGTGTCTTGTTATTGTTATCACCACGTGCAGCTCTATTGTTCTCTTCAGAAAGTTAGTGTCTTGTAATTGTTATCACCACGTGCAGCTCTATCGTTCTCTTCAGAAAGTTAGTGTCTTGTAATTGTTATCACCACGTGCAGCTCTATTGTTCTCTTCAGAAAGTTAGTGTCTTGTAATTGTTATCACCACGTGCAGCTCTATCGTTCTCTTCAGAAAGTTAGTGTCTTGTAATTGTTATCACCACGTGCAGCTCTATCGTTCTCTTCAGAAAGTTAGTGTCTTATAATTGTTATCACCACGTGCAGCTCTATTGTTCTCTTCAGAAAGTTAGTGTCTTGTTATCACCACGTGCAGCTCTATCGTTCTCTTCAGAAAGTTAGTGTAGCTTGTAATTGTTATCACCACGTGCAGCTCTATCGTTCTCTTCAGAAAGTTAGTGTCTTGTAATTGTTATCACCACGTGCAGCTCTATCGTTCTCTTCAGAAAGTTAGTGTAGCTTGTAATTGTTATCACCACGTGCAGCTCTATCGTTCTCTTCAGAAAGTTAGTGTCTTGTTATCACCACGTGCAGCTCTATTGTTCTCTTCAGAAAGTTAGTGTAGCTTGTATTTGTTATCACCACGTGCAGCTCTATTGTTCTCTTCAGAAAGTTAGTGTCTTGTAATTGTTATTACCACGTGCAGCTCTATCGTTCTCTTCAGAAAGTTAGTGTCTTGTAATTGCTATCACCACGTGCAGCTCTATTGTTCTCTTCAGAAAGTTAGTGTCTTGTAATTGTTATCACCACGTGCAGCTCTATCGTTCTCTTCAGAAAGTTAGTGTCTTGTAATTGTTATCACCACGTGCAGCTCTATCGTTCTCTTCAGAAAGTTAGTGTCTTGTAATTGTTATCACCACGTGCAGCTCTATCGTTCTCTTCAGAAAGTTAGTGTAGCTTGTAATTGTTATCACCACGTGCAGCTCTATCGTTCTCTTCAGAAAGTTAGTGTCTTGTAATTGTTATCACCACGTGCAGCTCTATTGTTCTCTTCAGAAAGTTAGTGTAGCTTGTAATTGTTATCACCACGTGCAGCTCTATCGTTCTCTTCAGAAAGTTAGTGTCTTGTTATCACCACGTGCAGCTCTATCGTTCTCTTCAGAAAGTTAGTGTCTTGTAATTGTTATCACCACGTGCAGCTCTATCGTTCTCTTCAGAAAGTTAGTGTCTTGTTATCACCACGTGCAGCTCTATCGTTCTCTTCAGAAAGTTAGTGTCTTGTCATTGTTATCACCACGTGCAGCTCTATCGTTCTCTTCAGAAAGTTAGTGTAGCTTGTAATTGTTATCACCACGTGCAGCTCTATCGTTCTCTTCAGAAAGTTAGTGTCTTGTAATTGTTATCACCACGTGCAGCTCTATCGTTCTCTTCAGAAAGTTAGTGTCTTGTTATCACCACGTGCAGCTCTATTGTTCTCTTCAGAAAGTTAGTGTCTTGTAATTGTTATCACCACGTGCAGCTCTATTGTTCTCTTCAGAAAGTTAGTGTCTTGTAATTGAGAAACTCTTACTTACACTCACTGCTGACAATGTACACTTAAACTTGCGCGCGCAAATGGACTGTTAAACGAGGTTTCAATCGATCATTTCGCAACAAAATTTTTGTGTACATCGTAGTCGTGCAGCTAACTTATCAGATTTTATTTGAACGGACATTAATTCAAGGTTAGAGGCGCTAGCGTTCATTTTAATGTTCGCTTAAAACTATGTCTGTTCACACAATGTCCGGTCAAATAACGTCCGATAAAGTAGTACAGAGGACAATAAAGCCAATTACGTATCTATCCAATCGTATACAAAAATCTGCTCATGTTTTCCAGAACATTGTTTAATTATTGTGACGTTCCAGAAAATTCTATTCGGCGGGCGCGCGCTACTGCAATGCGCGAGGGGTCTGGTTAGAGGAAAAAAATCTATTCTGTGCAAAATTAATTACCGTTTAATTTAGTCTCCTTGTTTTGTTGTAAATACTATTGAGCCGTTCAACTTCATCAAAATGGCCAACAACTCTAATATTCACCAGGCGTAGGTTAGTTCAGCTACCAAACGAGGCAACAGCACCACCTCAGACTGTATCATGTTGGCTCTGTCTCGGGGCTATCCTAGGTAAGGGCTATCCTAGGTAAGGGCTATCCTAGGTAAGGGGCTAACCGAAGTGAAATGTTGGTAGAATGCAAATGATTGCATATTGATTTTAACCCACTGTCCAGAGTAACTTACTCATTACTAGTAACCACTAGTAACCACTAGTTACCAATAGTAACCATAGTAACCTTCTTCAGGACTGCTGCCCTACATACTAATCTCTCTGTTGTGTATGTTACCTGGTGTTGAGTATGCGGACATGTCCACTAAAGTCAACATGTTCCAACTCTGCTGGTACTACGGGTCCATCCTCCTCACTCCCTTCATCCTATACTGGTTTGTTATTCGTTTCCATCCTCCTCACCCCCTTCATCCTTTACTGGTTTGTTATTCGTTTCCATCCTCCTCACCCCCTTCATCCTTTACTGGTTTGTTATTCGTTTCCATCCTCCTCACCCCCTTCATCCTTTACTGGTTTGTTATTCGTTTCCATCCTCCTCACCCCCTTCATCCTTTACTGGTTTGTTATTCGTTCCCAACCTCCTCGCCCCCTTCATCCTTTACTGGTTTGTTATTCGTTTCCATCCTCCTCACCCCCTTCATCCTTTACTGGTTTGTTATTCGTTTCCATCCTCCTCACCCCCTTCATCCTTTACTGGTTTGTTATTCGTTTCCATCCTCCTCACCCCCTTCATCCTTTACTGGTTTGTTATTCGTTTCCATCCTCCTCACCCCCTTCATCCTTTACTGGTTTGTTATTTGTTTCCATCCTCCTCACCCCCTTCATCCTTTACTGGTTTGTTATTCGTTTCCAACCTCCTCGCCCCCTTCATCCTTTACTGGTTTGTTATTCGTTTCCATCCTCCTCACCCCCTTCATCCTTTACTGGTTTGTTATTCGTTTCCATCCTCCTCACCCCCTTCATCCTTTACTGGTTTGTTATTCGTTTCCATCCTCCTCACCCCCTTCATCCTTTACTGGTTTGTTATTTGTTTCCATCCTCCTCACCCCCTTCATCCTTTACTGGTTTGTTATTTGTTTCCATCCTCCTCACCCCCTTCATCCTTTACTGGGTTGTTATTCGTTTCCATCCTCCCCACCCCCTTCATCCTTTATTGGTTTGTTATTCGTTTCCATCCTCCTCACTCCCTTCATCCTTTACTGGTTTGTTATTCGTTTCCATCCTCCTCACCCCCTTCATCCTTTACTGGTTTGTTATTCGTTTCCATCCTCCTCACCCCCTTCATCCTTTACTGGTTTGTTATTCGTTTCTATCCTCCTCACCCCCTTCATCCTTTACTGGGTTGTTATTCGTTTCTATCCTCCCCACCCCCTTCATCCTTTACTGGTTTGTTATTCGTTTCCATCCTCCTCACCCCCTCCATCCTTTACTGGTTTGTTATTCGTTTCCATCCTCCTCACCCCCTTCATCCTTTACTGGTTTGTTATTCGTTTCCATCCTCCTCACCTCCTTCATCCTTTACTGGTCTATTATTCGTTTCCATCCTCCTCACCTCCTTCATCCTTTACTGGTTTGTTATTTGTTTCAATCCTCCTCACCCCCTTCATCCTTTACTGGTTTGTTATTCGTTTCTATCCTCCTCACCCCCTTCATCCTTTACTGGTTTGTTAATCGTTTCCATCCTCCTCACCCCCTTCATCATTTACTGGTTTGTTATTCGTTTCCATCCTCCTCACCCCCTTCATCCTTTACTGGTTTGTTATTCGTTTCCATCCTCCTCACCCCCTTCATCCTTAACTGGTTTGTTATTCGTTTCCATCCTCCTCACCCCCTTCATCCTTTACTGGTTTGTTATTCGTTTCCATCCTCCTCACCCCCTTCATCCTTTACTGGTTTGTTATTCGTTTCCATCCTCCTCACCCCCTTCATCCTTTACTGGTTTGTTATTTGTTTCCATCCTCCTCACCCCCTTCATCCTTTACTGGTTTGTTATTCGTTTCTATCCTCATCACCCCCTTCATCCTTTACTGGTTTGTTATTTGTTTCCATCCTCCTCACCCCCTTCATCCTTTACTGGTTTGTTATTCGTTTCCATCCTCCTCACCCCCTTCATCCTTTACTGGTTTGTTATTTGTTTCCATCCTCCTCACCCCCTTCATCCTTTATTGGTTTGTTATTCGTTTCCATCCTCCTCACTCCCTTCATCCTTTACTGGTTTGTTATTCGTTTCCATCCTCCTCACCCCCTTCATCCTTTACTGGTTTGTTATTCGTTTCCATCCTCCTCACCCCCTTCATCCTTTACTGGTTTATTATTCGTTTCCATCCTCCTCACCCCCTTCCTCCTTTACTGGTTTGTTATTCGTTTCTATCCTCCTCACTCCCTTCCTCCTTTACTGGGTTGTTATTCGTTTCCATCCTCCTCACCCCCTTCCTCCTTTACTGGTTTGTTATTCGTTTCTATCCTCCTCACCCCCTTCATCCTGTACTGGTTTGTTCCTAGCGTTTCAACTAGAAATACTGTGAATCTTTTTTTCTGTTCTTGTTATCATCCGAGATCTTAATCGCCAATTATATTCAGATTATGAGCATACTTGATACTTGTGTAAACCCGGCCTTCACTGGCGCTGTTAAAATTTGAAACGGTGCAAAACTGCAACCCTGCTCAATCACAAACTCGCTTAAACAATATTTGAGATAGAAGAACCGAAAACAAAACTATGAAACATAACCAATAGGGACGAAGAGTTATAACTCAAAATAATAAATTAAAATAAGTGGTTTGGAAATTATACGCGAACTATCAGAATTGTTAACAAGATTTTTTTCCTGTAGGGTTTCCCTCTGAAAATGTAACATTTGTTTTTCCAGGGTGGATCATAACTACAATCAGTATTTCCGGTATCTTGTGCTTGGAAAGGACGCCGTGGATGATAAACGAGTTCTTGCGAAGGTAACCACTAGTAACCACTAGTAAGTAGTAACCACTAGCAACCACCAATAACCACTAGCAACCACTAGCAACCACTAGTAACCACTAGCAACTACTAGTAACCACTAATAACCACTAGTAACCACTAGGAACCACTAATGACCACTAGCAACCACTAGTAACCACTAGCAACCACTAATAACCACTAGCAACTACTAGCAACCACTAGTAACCACTAGCAACCACTAGTAACCACTAATAACCACTAGTAACCACTAGTAACCACTAGTAACAACTAGCAACCACCAGTAACCACTAGCAACCACTAGTAACCACTAGTAACAACTAGCAACCACTAGTAACCACTAGCAACTACTAACAACCACTAATGACCACTAGCAACCACTAGTAACCACTAGCAACCACTAGTAACAACTGGCAACCACTAGTAACCACTAGCAACTACTAGCAACCACTAGCAACCACTAGCAACCACTAGTAACCACTAATAACCAATAATAACCATTAGCAACCAATAATAACCACTAGCAACCAATAATAACCACTTATAGCAACCAATAATAACCACTAGCAACCACTAGCAACCACTAGTAACCACTAGCAACCACTAGCAACCACTAGTAACCACTAGCAACCACTAGCAACCACTAGCAACCAATAATAACCACTTATAGCAACCAATAATAACCACTAGCAACCAATAATAACCACTAGCAACCAATAATAACCACTAGCAACCACTAGCAACCACTAGTAACCACTAGCAACTACTAGCAACCACTAATGACCACTAGCAACCACTAGTAACCACTAGCAACCACTAGCAACCACTAGCAACCAATAATAACCACTTATAGCAACCAATAATAACCACTAGCAACCAATAATAACCACTTATAGCAACCAATAATAACCACTAGCAACCACTAGTAACCACTAGTAACCACTAGTAACCACTAGCAACCACTAGCAACCACTATTAACCACTAGTAAACACTGGCAACCACTAGTCCTAATGATTAGTTGTTGCTTGTTTTCCCAAAGAGTGTTCAACTGCAATCAAGTAGGAGCATTATATTTCAAACGAAACACTTAAATTGGCGGGCAAACGATCTGCTTATTGATATTATGTAGAAAAAATACCAATCCTCAGTGTCAAGTAAGAATAATGAATTTTAGATATATTTGATACAAGCTAGAAACGCCATTTTTCGACGTGAGGAGAGTTAGGACTCCTCCAACTACATTAAATCAATTCCTTCTGTAACGTCCTGAATAAATATAGTTACGAAAACAAAATTTATTGAACATTTCAAAACATCACTGAACACCAAAATATATTACTAATGGAAAAATAAAACAAAAGAACAAATAGTAATAAATCAAAACAAATATCAACATAATATAACATAATAGCAAAATAACAAAATAACAAAACAACAAAACACACAATATTTGAAGAATGACTCAAAATCGAAAAATATCAAATTTACTCTTTCATATGATATGTTTAATAAAATCCTTTTTATCGATTTAAATTATGGTCAAGTGACAGGATACAAAAAATTTTCAAAATCTTCAAAAAGTTTTCATACGATACATTTGGTTACTAAGTTCAGAATGCTTTCAATTCATACGATACATTTGGTTACTGAGTTCAGAATGCTCCCAAGTCATACGATACATTTGGTTACTGAGTATTGGGTTTTATTTATTTATAGCGTGATTTTGAAACACCTGGGGGTTTAATTTTCGGGAAACGAATAATTTATTCCTTAGCGACTATTTCTAACATTATTGTCATAAATTATTGATAATCTCGATCTCAGACAGATCATGGAGGTTAATAAATTCCTCTAAAAAACTCATTAATGTTCATATCAATCCCCAACCGGATATTATCTAACTATCAGTAATCCCCAGAAATTAAATTTCTTCATCATTTGTGAAAAGATAACAAATTATTTGTGGATGTTTGTTACCATGGTTACAGTGTTTGTTACCATGGTTACAGTGTTTGTTACCATGGTTACAGTGTTTATTACCATGGTTACAGTGTTTGTTACCATGGTTACAGTGTTTATTACCATGGTTACAGTGTTTGTTACCATGGTTACAGTGTTTGTTACCATGGTTACAGTGTTTGTTACCATGGTTACAGTGTTTTTTACCATGGTTACAATGTTTGTTACCATGGTTACAGTGTTTATTACCATGGTTACAGTGTTTGTTACCATGGTTACAGTGTTTGTTACCATGGTTACAGTGTTTATTACCATGGTTACAGTGTTTGTTACCATGGTTACAGTGTTTGTTACCATGGTTACAGTGTTTGTTACCATGGTTACAGTGTTTGTTACCATGGTTACAGTGTTTGTTATCATGGTTACAGTGTTTGTTACCATGGTTACAGTGTTTGTTACCATGGTTACAGTGTTTTTTACCATGGTTAAAATGTTTGTTACCATGGTTACAGTGTTTGTTACCATGGTCACAGTGTTTGTTACCATGGTTATAGTGTTTGTTACCATGGTTATAGTGTTTGTTACCATGGTTACAGTGTTTGTTACCATGGTTACAGTGTTTGTTACCATGGTTGCAGTGTTTGTTACCATGGTCACAGTGTTTGTTACCATGGTTATAGTGTTTGTTACCATGGTTATTATGTTTGTTACCATGGTTACAGTGTTTGTTACCATGGTTACAGTGTTTGTTACCATGGTTACAGTGTTTGTTACCATGGTTACAGTGTTTTATACTATGGTTACAGTGCTTGTTACCATGGTTATAGTGTTTGTTACCATGGTTACAGTGTTTGTTACCATGGTTACAGTGTTTGTTACCATGGTTACAGTCACTCCACGTAGTCTGAGAGGCTCTCTTTTATTTTAAATATGGTTCATCTTATACATAATATGTTATGTTATATGGCGAGCATTTTTATATCGAATAAAGGTGTGGTCTTAGTAGAAAGCTACTGATCGAGTGTCCGAACTCCTTTTCTTTGTAGCACAAACAATTTATATTTATTATTTCCCACCAGAAAAGATTCCAGTAACATTTCCTGTATCTAGAAAATTTCAACATCAAATCGAATCTTATGTTCATCCCAATAATAATACCTGCGCCAATAAATAATTTAATTCCATGTCAATTACAGTCATATTACCTGTCTGGTATTGCAATTAATAATTGAATCTCAGGTTAATGACGTTTGGTTTTCATCCAAGTACAACTACTCTGCAAACTCAAGTGGCCAGCTCCTAGCACAAGTTAACGATGACCTCAGAATGAGCGTAAACTTTAGGTAGATTTTAATAGTTTAGGTAGACTTCAGGTAGATTTTAATAGTTAATGTGGACTTTAGGTAGATTTTAATAGTTAATGTGGACTTTAGGTAGACTTTAGGTAAAGGTATTTGTCAATGTTATTGAAGGAAGTTGAGAAAAACTTTAAAGAGGAATATCTTTAATACGGAAAGTGTTGGCTTATCTGGCGTAGATCAGTTTTTCTGATTTTAGAAAGTTGTAGTAGTTTAACTAGACTTAAGATAGACTTAAGATAGACTTAAGGTAGTCTTTAGATAGACTTTAGGTAAACTTTAGGTAGACTTTTGGTAGACTTTAGGTAGACTTTAGGTAGACTTCAGTTAAACTTTAGGTAGACTAGGTAGTCTTAAGATAGACTTTAGGTAGACTTTAGGTAGACTTCAGGTAGACTTTAGCCTTAGGTAGACTTAAGGTAGACTTTAGGTAGACGTTAGGTAGTCTTTAGGTAGACTTTAAGTTGATTTTAGGTAAACTTCAGGTAAACTTCAGGTAGACTTTAGGTAGACTTTAGGTAGACTTTAGGTAAAGGTAGACTTTAGGTAAACTTCAGGTAGACTTTAGGTAGACTTTAGATAGACTTTAGGTAGACTTTAGGTAAACTTCAGGTAGACTTAAGGTAGACTTTAGGTAGACTTAAGGTAGACTTTAGGTCGACTTTAGGTAGACTTTAGCCTTAGGTAGACTTAAGGTAGACTTTAGGTAGACTTTATGTAGTCTTTAGGTAGACTTTAAGTTGATTTTAGGTAAACTTCAGGTAAACTTCAGGTAGACTTTAGGTAGACTTTAGGTAGACTTTAGGTAAAGGTAAACTTTAGGTAAACTTCAGGTAGACTTTAGGTAGACTTTAGGTAGACTTTAGATAGACTTTAGGTAGACTATAGGTAAACTTCAGGTAGACTTAAGGTAGACTTTAGGTAGACTTTAGGTAGACTTTAGATAGACTTTAGGTAGACTTTAGGTAGACTTCAGGTAGACTTAAGGTAGACTTTAGGTAGACTTTAGGTAGACTTTAGGTAGACTTTAGGTGGACTGAAATAGATATTGTATTGGGAGAATACATATTTAACTTATGATATTTGACAATCGTCCATGGGGATATAAAACATAACGAGTCTTTTTTAGGCAAAGTATGGCTATCAAAGGGTTTAGAGCTGTAAAAATTATGGAGAATTATAGCTAAATTTTGCTGTTTTTATTAAAGTTTTACAGTAAAACTTTAATTTTGGCTCTTCTTAATCTCTTGCTAAAATCGGCAAGTTTCCATAAATGAAATTTTATTATCGGCGCTGATAATGATTTACTCCATATTCCATATTTAATTGTTATTCTTTATAAAGACATAATGTTGAACTGTCAGACCTCATTTTGATAAATGTTCTGTGAAAAATAAAATTAAACGAAAACGAAAAACTGAGTATAGACATTGAAAGTCCTTGTTTTATGTTTTAGAAATAGTGCCATCAGACTAAAACCGATATAATCAAGTCCAGATGAACTTTATAATAGTGGATGGCAAAACTTAAAATTAGAATCAAAATGTTTATTGAATTGATGTCTGTATTCGTGCAAATTATTGTGTTATTTCATTTGTAAATGATTATTGTAATTGATTATAATTATAATGATCATTTGTAATTAATTATTGTAAATAAACAATTAAACGCGTATGTTGATTTATGATTAAATAGGGGTAATAGCATACAAATTCAAATAAATAGAACAAATATTAAAATAATCATACAACAATGACAAATAGCGAGTCGAGTTCAAAAAGTTACATTTTCCAAAACCACCAACATACATTTTTTCAATCACTGATCCCGTCGATAGATAGATCGAATAAAGATGAAGCAGAATGACAGGCTGAGCGCCGCCCAATAAGATCGTCACATCCACAAAGTTGACTTCTTCCATGAACAAGAATGAAATGTAAAACCACCGCTTACCTGGCACACCAGTCCCTGTGCGCGGCGCTATTTTCAACCTTCCTGTACAGAGAGGAGCGAGCAATAGACTAGCAAGCTAGGTAAAACCCCCGCCACCATGGCGAGTAAAGCAAGGGACCCCATATCAGAGAGTTTGGTCTCGTAGCTGGGAGAGCTCAGTGACAGCATCAGTAATAGATCTGGAGCTTGGGGAGGTAGAGGAGGAGGAGGGGGAGGTCTTTCCTGATCCTCGTCTCTCTTCCTTCTGCAGCCGTTTCTCCCTCATCCGTCTGTTCTTGAACCAGTTACAGATCTGCAGGTAGTCCATCTCACACACGTCTGCTAAATGTTTCTTCTCCTCGTTAGACGGGTACTGGTCCACTGAGAAGGCTATAGCTAGCAGCCTTCTAGCGGACTGTTTGAGGTTGTAACTGGTGGTCTCCCCATTCCACACGCTAGCGGGGTAGGGGAACCTCTTTCTTAGTCTGTGCCTATCAACTGCTGTCAGGGGTGTCTTCTTGCTGGCTGCGTCTAGTGGAGATTGGGGTTAGTAATTTAGTAAATTATCAATATCTATTACTTGTTTGTTAGTGATCTGGAAACAACCAAGAAAAAATATAAAAGAAAACAAACGTTAATATTAATTAATAAAAGATATACTTGAGAAAATAACATACGTTGAGTGTAGAGGCAGTGAAGCCAGAGCTGCTGTACTCCGGTGTGGTCCTGGTCCCGGAACTGGCTGCTCGTCACGAACTCGAAGAACTTTCCAAACTGTCCGGAAGTAGCTAGGAACTGGGCTACCATGCAGTTCTTGTGTAGGTCAGAGTTGGTCTGGTACACCTGGGATCTCTGGTTCACCTGAGTATTTGTTATTAGAGATCAGCTAGTTACAACGGTAACAAGCACCGTTATATTTTATATACTGCTAACAAGTGTGGTAAGGTTAAATATACCCCCCACGTTAATTGTTTGTTTTGTTTTGAAACCCCACGGTGGAGGTTGGCGTGTGCCGCAATTTATTAATCAATGGTTATTACATAAATGAAATTATAGAAGTCACACTAAAATATAATAATGTAAAATAAAATATATTAAAATAAAAGCCCTACTAAAAGTACTATATAACTAACGGTCTGCAAAACTGGATGAAGTCGCAATTTGTAAACATGCTAATTACTATTTAATAATAATAGATAAAAAGTTTTGCGCGGCAGATGTAAATTCGGCATTGCATAATGGCAGTGAAATTAAAATGATATGTTGTTGATAAAAGATCATAGTCATTTGTCGCGAGTGATCTTTCTTTACGTGTTGTCGCTTACTTATAACTCGGTGCTGTAGTCTATTTGCGAGCGCCCTTCTCTTTGAGACTTTCTTAGCCCAGGTATACTATAAAGTAAGAAATTTGGCCAATTTTCATCGTCTCCTGAGCTTTGCAGCTTGAGGAGTTCGCGCTTAGCTGAATTTTTAAAGATTTCAATTGGAAAGGTAGAACTTGGAATAGTTATATCCTTACTTTGTTTTGTAATAGAGAGCATGGGTCCTTTGAAGAAAAGAGTATTTCTAAATGTTGGGCCGTTGTAAGTTGTGAACCAAGAAAGGTTATGTTCGTATGTGGAATTATAGGTGGGAATATCGTGAGGGAAAATTTCTTTGATGGATTTAGGGAGAAGGCTTGGCATGTTCCTTACTTTGTGTAGTAGAATAAGAGCGTTTTTTACAATGACGCTATGGACTGTTAGGATATTATGCAATCTAAACGCACTTTTTGTGTGCTCCGGGGGATTGCCGTCTTTATATCTATAATTTACATATCCTGACATAACAGCTCTAATTCCCTGCTTTTGCTTGGTGAACAGAGATTCAATGTGACATTTTGAGGCAAATCCCCACACTAAAGAACAGAAATTTAGATGGGATTGGATAAGGCTTTGGAAAATGTTTAGGCGGGCTTTGATAGGTAGAAGGTGCTTTAGCTTATACATAACTCCGAGGTAGCGACCCATCTTTATTCTAACTGCCGTAATGTGTTTTTGCCAAGTGAGCTTTTCGTCTAGGATCACTCCTAAAAATCTTGCTTCAGTCTTACGTTCGATTACAGTGTTGTCAATGGACAAATTAAAGCCGCTGAAGTCGATTCTTTTTCTAGTGAAAATCATGTAACACGTCTTTTTTACATTTAAAGATAGCCCATTAGCACCTACCCAATCTACAAGACGTGAAATTAGCTGATTAGCTTTTAATTGTATTTCTTCTAGGGTGGTTCCACTAATCAATATGTTTGCGTCGTCGGCATAAAGGATGAACTTTGCAAAATCACTAATTCCAGGTAGGTCGTTTATATAAATTACAAATAAGAGAGGTCCTAAAATGCTACCCTGAGGTACGCCGTAAACTATGGGCATGCTAGAAGAGCAAGTTCCGTTTAAAGTTACGTATTGAGATCGATTACAAAGGTAAGATCTAAACCATTCGTGCGCGACTCCCCTGATCCCATAATGGTCAAGCTTCTTAAGCAAAGTCTCATGATCAAGCACGTCAAAGGCTTTACTGTAATCGAGCAGGAGCAGTAGGGAAATTTGTTTCTTATTCAGAGAGTGTAGTATAGAATTTTGGGCATTGAGCAGTGCATGTTCACACGACCATCCTGGCCGAAATCCGTATTGATTTTCGAAAAGAGAATCGTTCTTATCTAAAAATTCTAAAACACGAGCATGCATAAGTTTCTCATAAATTTTCGAGAATGATCCCAAAAGAGAGATCGGCCTATAATTAGCTACTTCCAATTTTGAACCACCTTTGTGGATAGGAACGACTTTCGCAGTTTTTAGAGCATTTGGGAAGGTACCACTGGAGAAAGAACAGTTAATGACATTAGCTAGTGCCCTGGTAAAGTTTTCGCAGCTATTTGCAATTTTCAATGGCTCAATTTTACAATCGAGTGTGGACTTGTTCTTAAGCCCTGATATTATCTTTTGGACTTCACCGTGTGATGTAGGCTTAAGAAACATCGAGTTACTACACGAAGCCTTAAGAAAATGCTTGAAACCACCTGGGTCAAAGGTTCGACGGGCAGCGATTTGCCTCTTGATACTGGCTGCAATACCGGAGAAGTAGCCGTTAAATTTCTCAGCGACTGCCAGATCGGAGCTTATAATCGTGCCATCGTCGTCCTTCAGACGGGTGTGTCCGAACTTTTTTCTGTTACGGTTCAGGAGGCCGTTGATAATTTTCCATTGACTTTTAGAGCAGTTTTGGTATTTGTCAAACATTTTTTTATAGTACTTTTCTTTGGCTAGATTCACATGTTTGTGACAAAACTTTTTCATTTTATCATACGCGTCGCAGTTTTTTTGTGATGGATTTATAGTTTTTTCAAAAAAAAGTAATTTCTTGCGGTTGCATGCCGCCTCAAGCCAGGGTAAGATCCAAGGCTTTGGGTCAGCTCTTTCGAATTTTCTTCTCGAACTGTCGCGCTTCAGGGGGTATGCAGTATTGTAGTGTTTCTTGTACGTTTGATAGATGGAATTGTATTGTTCATCAGCGCACGTTGAGGAGGTAGCATCATCCCAGGTCTCACTTACAATAAGCTCTTTGAATTTAGCATGATTAGCTTCGTTAAATACACGGGCCTCTAATTTCAAGCTAGTGTTGTTGTTCTTTACACGTTGACTACGGAATCGCTCGTTCAAACTAGGTGTGGCTCCTAAACTAATGGTCGTGCTAACCGCGAGATGATCTGACATATCCAACGTCACGACATTACAACTAATAACGTTGGTCACGTGATTAGTATACACGTGATCAATAAGCGTTGCACTGTGGTCAGTTACCCTGGTAGGCTTGGAGACAGTCTGGGCAAACCCATATTTTTCTAGTAAGCTTATAAGATCCTGGCTGTAAGCGTCGGTATCGTATTTTATAAGATCAATATTTGCATCACCCAGGAAGACTATCTGCTTTCTGGAGTGTCTATCAATTAATGTCAGGTTGGTATTTTAGAACCATGTAAAAAGTACCAAGAGACGAATAACAAGTAAAAGTAGGATGTAAGCAGAAGTAAAATCTAAGACTGGTTCTTGTTAACAAACCTCGTCAGGAGGAGAAAGCTGCTGAGCGGGGCTGAACCGGGGCAGGAAGGTGGAATCTGAGTAACCAGGGTAACCAGAGGAGACTTGTTGGTAGGGGGACAGGTCCGGGGGAGAGGGATAGTCGTAGTGTTGGGGCAGGGAGAGGGAGGGTTGAGAAACTGATGGAGTGAGTACGCTCTGGG